TGTTTTGCCCCAACCAAACCCTGTAAGACATTTTCAGTTTTAAATAAATGCATAATTTAACTATGTTGATAATAAGTTATTTTAGATTGATATCCAAATAAAAAATCAAGATCTCAAAATTGAGACTAAAAGAGCGCAGTGGAGCTGGTGGTCAGCATGTGAATACAACTGATAGTGCTGTTAGAATTGTTCATATTCCGTCAGGTATAGCTGTTGAATGCCAAACAGATCGATCTCAAATTAAGAATCGAGTATAGCCATGATAAACTTAGAACAAAACTATATGAACAACAAATTACATCACAGGAGACTACCACCAAAAACATAGAAAAATCACAAGTAAGATATTTTTATTTTTAAATAAGTTTTCTTTTCATCATATTAGAATTAAAATAATATGAATTACAGGTAGGGGCTAGTAATCGAAATGAAAAAATTCGTACGTACAATTATAACCAAGATCGTATTACAGATCATAGACTTTCATATAATATTCATAATATTAAAGTTTTTATGGAAGGAGGAGAACCTCTTCAGAAGCTAATTGATAACTTAGACGAAATATCAAGGTTTGAATTATTAGATAAACTAATTCACTCTATACCTGAAAGTTACCCTCTATACAAAAATGCAAACGTAAAATAAAAAAGTTATATTTAATTGAATAATGTTGAAAAGCTTTAATAAGGTTTAAACAATTTATTTTGTAAATTATACATAATTAAAATAGCATTTGGTTACATTATATTTATACACAATTTGAAGACTAAAGGAATAAATAAATAAAATATAAAGTATCTCTGAATTTAAAAATTAATAATTGATAATTAATAACAAATTTGATAATAATGAATAATAAATTATTAATTCAGAACAATAAATCAGTTCTTATTGAAATAATTTTTAAAACAACAACTTTTGAAACATTATTTTACAATTTACATATTTATTTATGAAATAATATTCTGTAACATACGTTCTGTTAAATCAAAGTTGTAAAAAATTAAATAAAACTGTGGGGGCACATTTATGTTTAGTATTTCTTGTTCAATGTGTATTGGGTAGTGATACTATATTTATCTCGGGAAGGAAATATCTAACATTTATTCTTTTCCTGCATTATCCATATTGTAAAATGGACTTAGTTTGCCTCAGCTTCTGCTTTTGTTTCATTATCTGTTTCTGATTGTGTTATTGGAACAACACGTTCATTATCCACCGGCGGGATATTTTTTGTTGGGGCAGTTATAGTTAGTATCCATCTGAAGACAAACTGGACACTACATCAGCCGATTCATGACCTTTTGGCAACATGTAACGCCTCACAAATGACGAGAAATGAATCCATGCTCGTCTTGTTTTTTCCTCATGCTTTCCTTCTACAATTACGTAGTTATCCTTAGTTTTGACCATTATTTCATTGGGCTTGAATTGCTGCACATCTAAGGTAATCTGTCGGATGGATTATGATTAGTATGTCTTGAATTACTTCATAGAGAAAAAAATTAAAACAATGTAATCAGCTTATACTGATGATATTTCTTATGTTTGATAAAATAGTTAATTTTTTTCACACACCTGAAATTTGTCGCTATCTTTTTTTATGGTGGAGAGGACCCCACGTTCGGAAATTTCACTTCTCCAGGGTCTGTAGTAACCCCCTCGAATAATGATGGTGTGTAGCATGTAAGGAAGTTAATAGATCATTTCGATTCAGACCCATTCCGAAATGTTGATCCAAAAGTCGCATTGGGTGGTCATAATCCTCCCACCAATCGTGAAATAACAAGGGTACCAAAGACATTTCTAAATTGAACTGTGTCAGAAACAATTAATAACAATTAATATTGTGCGTTAATAAATGTTAATAATTAGTTATAATGATTATTATATAAATATTTTTCTGCTATTTATAAATATAAATGAAAACGTTTAGAAATCGAGCATATTTTACCTTCATCAATAAAACTAATATTTGCATTATGACTAATATAAGATTTTAAGATTTAATTTCTATATATTATTATAATATTCAATTTATTTTTGTGGTTTGATATTATGCTATAATTCAGCAATTCTAAAATAATTACAAAATATTTGTAATGTTTTGTTTAATTTGTATATTTTTTAAACTTCCCGTTATAGTAATGGGCCGAAAATCGAAAATGATTTTTTTTATATATCTTCACGTTTCAGAGGTTTCTGAACATTTTGGCATACCTCAGAAAATATGGATGTATATCTATGCTTTGTTCGCATTTTTTCTGAACATTTTTTTTGCATATCGAAATAATTCAGATTTTAATTTAATGGCTATTTTAATGGCTTTTTATCTAGCTAAAGTTCTAAAGCTCACTTATATTCTTTAAATAAATAATTTTAACTTTATAATTAAGTTTATTTAATTGTTATAAATATTAGACAATATTACAGTATTTATATAATCAATTTGAAAACATTTAATATTTCTCGAACATTTCGTTACGGTACGGGAAGTTACATCAGCAATTTGCTTAAGGTACGATTTTATAAAAGATTTACTAGGAAGAACAAATATAAAATTGAAACATTTTTATACAAATCACTATAGAAAAATTGTGATATCATAATATCATTAATGTATGAGTGTACAGCACATACTTATAGTACATGTAAAAAAAATAATGGAAGTACAATAGTAGAAGACGTAATATATTGAAGGAAAAATGAAAGAGAATATTTTCAGAGAATTTGTATAGTTATAATAATTTTAATTTTAATAAATTTAGTACAATTATGAGACAACTGCCTACGTTATTTTTTTAATAATAATGGAGTTTATAATGCTTATTTCCAATTTGTTTCTATTTACTATAAGGATGATATCGAATTCATGTGTCGAAACGTATAAAAATAAATAATCTCCACAATTATTTTACCTTTTGGTTTTGATGTTAGTCTCTTAAGATTTTATACATATATCTTTAACTTCAAAATTAATATCCGAATATATATACAAACCTATGCGTGTATATACGTATATTCGTTGGAACGCGTCTCCTCTAAAAGAACGACTAAACCGTTAATGAATGTAGCAATACAATATATTAAAATATTAGATTTCTTACCTATAACTTCTACTTCTCAGAATAATATATTTTTAACTTTTTTATGAAATGTTCTGTAACAAGTTGCAACCGTTTGCAAGGAATGCGCGATGCAACTGCATTTTCACTTTATATATGCGCACAGCGTGTGTCCTATACCCAAGTTGTTCAAACCAAAGGGCGGATAATTAAACTTAGAAATTAATCTTAACTTAATCGAAATTAACTTAAAATTAAACTTTCGAATGAATTGTCTAGAAATAAATATGGTTGGAAAATGATAATCGAAACATCCGAAATAGCTTGGATATATCTAAGTTTTCTGGTTGCAATATGAATCTGGATTTATAATGACTTACTTCAAAATGTTTATTATAGTGATTTTTATTATTAAATTTTTGTTTCACTTTCCACAATTTAATTGAACTGTGTAAGTTATTTGATTTATTTCAAAATTAGTAGCGTTACTGGATGTTTTAAAGACACTGGAAAATCGAATCATATGCGCAGGACAAGGGATGACCTTCTTTTCTGAATCCATAAATTGTTATATTCACTTTTTGCGATGCATTTTATTACTTTACAAGTATAAATAATTTTTAATTTACATACTTATAAAACTTTCTGAAAATAACATAATTTTAAAAATAGATTCCAATGTTTTTGTAAAATATAAATTTCAAATATTGTAACAAATAACTCAAGATTTTACAATATTATTGTATTTTGTATTGTATGAATAATTATTGTACTCAAATACTAAGTATTAATACTAGTATTAATACATACTATAATACATTAAAGTATATATAATTAATTGACTCCAATTCCATCCATATTTATATATAATTCTCATCTTAGGTACAAACTATATTTCTTAATCTCCTGAAATTATTAGGCTTTATTTAACATAAAGCATTTTTGAAAAAGTTTTGAATTGTATTTTTGAACATAATTTAAGTTTTAACAACTATTAGACGTTTTCCAAGTCAATATAGCACGGCGAGTGTAATAGACCTTCATAGATTTCACACAATTTTCTGTTAGTGCCTTCTTAATTATAGTGAAAAATAAGCATAATATTAAAATTTTTAATATCAAAAATGTACCACGTTCTGAAAAACGGGTAGGACTCATAAATCCTTCGAACCGCCTGGATAATTATTTTTAACTATAGTGGTAAAATAAATTTTGTGAAAATCGAAATTATTTTCGAGGAATCCAACATAAACATATTCTACATATAAAAATTAATATACTTAATTTTTATAAACCATGGTAATTTAATTATGGTAATGATGTAATTAATGGTAAAACCATTCGGTACAAAAAGATTAATATTTTCTGTAATAGATCATATTTTTTTCCGAATTTGTTTGTTACTACATATCCAATTAGAACTTAGGCGAATTGTAAAATTTTATAATATATTTTTTAAATGTTCCTTTTTAATTATTTGAAGTGCAAGCGTTGTAATTTGACACAGATGCTCTAGAAGTGCATAAAATTACATGGTCATGCTGTAAATTATTTTATATGTTATTTTAGTTGACAAATTATAAAATGATTTATTCAAATGCTGCTGTGCTCTTGTTGTACGCCAAACAATCACAGTCAGAGGAGTCCGATGCAGAATGCCAAAATGAAGTCAACTTAATAAGTTGACTTATGCCAACTTATAAAGTAAAAATTCGAAACCCAATCACTCATACAAAATTATGTGTATACAGTAATTGTTTTTGAACTAAAATTAAGGAGCAATGTATATATTAAAAAACAATGAATAGCTTACTGTACTTGGTATTATCATATTGTCTCAATATTAATACAAAAACAAGACTTGCACTCAAAATATTTATTTGATACTGCTTAATAAAAAATCATCATAATTATACAAAGTTTTTTTTCAAATATATAAAATTGATTACTAGCATATATACCCATACTTTCATGTTGCGTTTTTTACCAAGTTGCGCGGCAGCTTCATTAATACTAAATTTTTACTGGGCTTCGTTAGATTTTCGAACTTGCGTTGTTTTGGTCTCCAGTTATTCATTTTTTTACAAAGTTTTTGAAATTGTGGAAACTGACAAATTAATTACTAGTTTAGCATATCATGAATTCTTTAAAGAAAACTGCAATTGCAATTTTTTAATGAAGAATATAAATCTTTGAAGAACAAAATTGAACCTCCATATCAATATTAAGCAGTGGTGTTTAATTAAGGAAGGTATGGACATTTTTTTTAAAACTATCGTGACTCCGAAAATAGGTTTTACCCAGGAAAATCCATTTCGACAAGAAACTTTATTTATGTTAAAAAATTAGCTCAGCTGCACGTCTACAAAGCCGACCTAGGACAACTATAACTGCCAGCATAATTTATTCCAAATTTATTACATATATTATTAGTTAGCTAGTCTTTTTGGTAAATATTGCGAATTGTTACTTCATTTTTATTTGTTATAAATTTACTGAATGTCCTATACTGGACAGTTGTAAATAAAAGAGTTAATAAAAAAAAAAAAAAAATTATTTTGTTCTTTTTTTTTAAATCAGTAATCCTAACTTTCGATTTTTACATGCTGTGCTATAGAAAATTTTAATTCAATTTGTTGTGTTTTTAGCACGACGCCACATGGGTGGGTGGGGTGGTGTATATAATATAAATTGAATTTAATTAAATTATATCCTATTTTGTTCTGTTATTTGCAAATTATAACAACGCAACTATTCATATTATTTTCCCATTTTGAATAGTAATAGTAACTTTGCAAAATAGACTGAAATGGTATGTTCAGGACCGGATTTTAGAAATCTCATTTTTCTCATTAAAATAACTATTGATTGCAAAAAATTATCACGCATTACATACTTTTTCTATGCACAGATATAATTTTTTTATAAATTTTCAAGTTTTGCCGCCCCGGGCATAGCTCCGACTGCTCCTACTGTAAATTCAGCACCTGGTTATTCAGCACAAATGTTGCATATGATATAATGGTATACCAGCCCTAAAATAAATTTTTGATTTACAATTGTACATTGAAATGAACTAATAAGTATTGTTATATAATAAAACAATAAGACAATAAGTTATATTTTACAAATGATAGTTTTGATGCTCGACTCCTATCACCGGCTATCACTAATGTTCATTCGAAAATTGATAAAATACATTCTGAGTTTTGCACGTACCACGTTATATAACCACCGGCTTATTGATCAATTGAACAGTTTACTAGTACTTGTATTATGATCGTCGTGTTTTGGCCTTGATGCAAATAATGCTATTAATAGTTCTGAGCTCTGTTATTTGATAACATTGCATATGCAATGTAAACATTATCTACGTGCAATTTGAACGCGATGTACTACTAGCTTGTTGCAAACAAAACGCATTATTCAAAATTAAGAAAAATAGAAATGATTTAAAATAGAAAAATATTAAATACATAGTAGGTATTTACCAAATTTGATTGTGTAATTTTATTAAATTTTAGTTTTAAAGGTACAATGATTTAAAATTTTTGGGTGCGGTTGATGCATGATTCATTTCAATGTACAATTGTAAATCAAAATTTTATTTATCTAAAATTAGTAATATATATATATATATATATATATATAAATATATAAAATACATATATATTATATAAAATATTTATATTAAAATAGCAGATACCCATGAAGAATTAAAAAACGCACATTACAAAACACTTGTTTATTGATATATGATATAATATATGAACACGTACACTAATAAAGTGTATTAAATAAAAAATAATACTTCATTAATGAATCATCGGAATGAAATACTCAGTCTTCTGTATCAAACAGACTTATTTCTTAATGGCCTGTTGCTCTTTGGCTGGGCCGGCTTGGGTAATGGGGACCACTCGTTCTGCTGCAGCTGGAAGGGCCTTCTTGGGCGCTGTTATGGTCAATACTCCATCCGAGGACAAACTAGATACTACATCGGCAGCATCGTGATTTCTGGGCAAGACATATCGTCGAACAAAATGACGGGAAATATATCCGTGCTCATCTTGTTTTTCTTCATGCTTGCCTTCCACAATTACGCAATTGTCCTTTGTTTTTACGGTGATTTCTTTTGGTTTGAATTGCTGAACGTCTAAGGTCACCTGAGGAAAGAATTATCAATTAGTTCTCAGTTTATTTAGGTGAACTGTTAGAACCTGATATTGTCAACTTACTTGGAATTTATCTTTGTCAGCAACGATGGTCGACGAGGAATCGTCAGCAGTAATTTCATTCCTCCAAGGTCTGTAATAACCGCCACGGAAGAGGGATGGAGTTGCCCGCAGATTAGTAATAAGATCATTTCGATTTAGGCCCATTCCGAAATGTTGGTCCATGAGGCGCATTGGATGGTCGTAATCCTCCCACCAATCGTGAAACAACAATGGTACGAGAGACATGGTTCAAATGAGTAATCTGTAACGAAAATCGAAAATACAATTAATTAAACTGTTTACATTCTGGAAAGTTCTGGTATGATAATCCTTGTTCAATAAACACCAAAAATACAACTAGAATTTCAAACACGAGAGACAAAAAAAAAAATCCATTAACAACCGCAAAAAAACGTTTCGTACACTTCACTAATAGTAAATGTATTTAAAACTCACCTGATATAGTGGAAATAATCCAAATTATACAAATACTTTTTTTCACAAACAAACTTTATTTGGTATATATCAGCAGCTGCTTTCCTTTAGCTCGTCTAGTTGTAAACTGATGTTATGACGCAGTTCGGCCGGCTTTATATACGCCGCCGGCTGAATGCCCTCTAGAGTACTCTGGAAACAACTAGAACATTCCATATATTTGATATTTGTTTTGAAAACTTTACTACAATTGCAAATTATGCATCATAGAAATATACATTGTAATTATAGAACTTATTAAAATTTTAATTATATATACATAAAAATATTTAAAAAATAGATTGTTATTTTTGCTTCAAGGCGATTGAAATAGATTTATCGTGAAAATAATTAGAAATAGAATTATAAAATTTTAATTTTAATTTTTCATGACACATACATAATTTATAACATGTATAATATTTGCACACTCACACACATATAAATAAATAAATAAATAATAATTATATATATATATAATAATAAAAATAATTATAAATAATATTATTATCAGAAATAGTATTATAAAATTTTAATTTCAATTCTTCATGACACATACCTAATTTATAACATGTATAATATAAATAATTTTTACACACTCACACACTCATAAATAAATAAATAATAATAAAAATAATTGTAATTGTTCCATAAGGTTTCGAGTACCAATTTGATTTTTTTTTAGTGATCAGAACTACTAGAAATAGCATAAGATTTAATATAAAAATATATTAAACTTATCATAAAATAAATAAAAACATATCAAAATTCAATTTGATCAGTGTAATTTTCAAACTTAGTTTTTATCTTACTTTATAATGTTTATGATAAATTTATTACATTTTTATATAATTTGTTAAACCAGTTTATGTTGTATTGTCCACTAAAGAAAAGCCAAATTGGGCCTCGCAACGTATAGATCTATTAAAATTAATTTAAAAAATATATTTTAGTTTCTGTTTTATATTTATTAATAAATGTTTTTATTGATAAATATAAAACGTATAGATCTATTACAATATATTTTTTAAATAAATTCTAATGGATCTATACGTTTCGAGGCCCAATTTGGCTTTTCTTTAGTGGACAAAACAACAAAAAATGGCTTAACAAATAATATAAAAATGTAATAAATTCATCATAAACATTATAAAGTAATATAAAACCTAGTGTTGAAAATAATACAGATCAAATTGTATTTTGAAGTGTTTTAATTTATTTTAATATATTTACTAAATTTAATATATTTTTGTAGTTTTGTCCACTAAAGAGGAGTCAAATTGAAACTCAAAACGTATGGATTTATTAAAATTATATCATAATATATATTATATTACATTATTTGTCCAGATATGCACTATAAAATAATGCTATAGCATTATAAATGATAATTATCTGGACCATATCTGGACAGTGGTCTGTTTAAGAAGTTTTTGTTATTATTATTTCCATTAATAGCATAACATTCTCATTTGATTAATCATTTATAAACAGATAGCAAAAATAGTTATATATATATATATATATATATATATATATATATATATATATATTTATGGTTATTGTATGTGTGCAATTTAAATCAAATAATTCATTAGTAATCGACCTTGTCTAGATTTAGAACATAATTATTGTTTGTTGCATTTTTGCATTATGTAATTGATGTGTGCAGTGCGTTTGCGCTTGCATAGATAAATAATAATATTATTATTATCAGAAACTTATCAATACGAAGAAACACGTGTTATATAAATATTATTATAATTCAAATACATTACCTACACTGGTGAAAAATACAATGATTATTTTTAATCAATATTTTTAATTGAATTAACACTTACAGAATTTTATTGAAATGACAATGCATATTTCATTAAATATACTTTACATGATTATTTTATAATGCATTAAAGTTTAATTAATTAATTTAATAAATAATTGAAGTTTTGTTTTAACTAGTACCTCTGCTACGGTACTAAAAATGCGGCATTGACAAAAGTTTTTTTTTTATTTATTTATTTGGCTTCATAAACATTACTGTACATTAGCCAAAGGATTAATATATTCTTTACCAAATTACCTACAGATTCTTTGAATGTATCTTGTGGTGTATGACATCGTGCTTTAAGGCAAATTGCTGAAACTTCTCGTACCAAAAATTAAATTCTTTAAAGAAGATTAATTAATTCTAAACTTAGAAAAATAAATTTTTGTGAAATATAACATGTTTCAAAAACATTGCTTTTATTGAAAAAAAGACTTTTTGAATAAAAACGATTTTTTTATATTTTGAAGTATTTTGGAGATTTTGAACTTTTTTTTGGAAAATATCAAAATATCGCAGCGCGTAAGCATCGCGACGCAATAGTTGCCAAACGATGTTACGGAACCCATAAAAATGAAAACAAAATTTATATTTATTATTAAAATATCTATAAAACATCTGATAATTTGATGTGCATATGTCTAATGATTATTTTTGTCCGCGAAATGGTATTTTTTTAATAGATCTTCCAAACCGCTAGACCTGCCTTATCAAAAATTCAATCATTTTAAATTTTTATAAAAAAGATTCAAATATTGGTTGTCAAATGGGTTAAAATTTAATTAAGTGGCGTTTAAATATATAATTAAATTATAAATATATATATATATATATATATATATATATATAATCACTATAAATAATTTCATATTTGCCTATCAAATTGTGAAATTAAACTCAAAATTTGGGTAAAATATGAGATTGAAGACAAGAGATTAGTATAGAATCCATAATTCGATTGAGTTTAATATTTGCATCGCAATTTAATGGTTTATTTGGTAGATAAATATATAATTAAATTATATATATATATATATATATAATCACTATAAATAATTTCATATTTGCCTATAAAATTGCAAAATTGGACTCAAAATATGGGTAAAATATGAGATTGAAGTCAAGAGATCAGTATACTCGTAATATCCATAATTCAATTGAGTTTACTATTTGCATCGCAATTTAATTGTTTATTTGGTAGATAAACTTATTACAGACTTAAATATTTCTTAGAATTGATTGATAAGACAACATTATTATAGGAGCATATAATAATAGAAAAGTTTACATATATTCTTCGAATTGTAATTACTAGTATTTTAGATTAAGTTATTAATGTTTTACAATTTGTTCTCGAAAGATGCGATATTATATTTAAACTTATTTCTTTAAAAACAAAATTTCTATGATATTTTTTCTAGAACTTTGTAATACAATAAGAAAGTTCTAGGGGTTCTAGGACTTTCTAGCACCTGCATCAGATTCGATCGCCGAATCGTCGGGAAAGTTCTAGCAAGGGAACACTCCACATGGTTCGAGCATATTCTATCCGCTATATATATAACGGTTCGATTCAAGAGATAACCAGTTCAAATAAAACATTGAGACCATACGTGAAAACAGCAACAGCCAAACAAATTGTGACTATTAAGTCTTAAAGTGCAAGTTAAAGGGTACTAATTTTAAAAGAAACAAAAATCGAAGGAAACATGTCTCTCGTACCACTGTTTTTCCGCGACTGGTGGGATGACTTTGATCATCCAATGAGGCTCATGGATCAACATTTTGGAATGGGCTTAAATCGAAATGATCTTTTAACCTCCTTACATGCTACACCATCATTATTCCGAGGAGGATACTATAGACCGTGGAGAAATGAAATTTCTGCTCAAGATTCTGCTTCAACGATCACTGCAGACGAAAACAAGTTTCAAGTAAGAATCAGATTTTAATTCTAATAAATATTTTTTCTATCTAACTAAAATTTTACTTCTATTTTACTAATTAATTTTTCCCTCGCAGGTGACTTTAGATGTTCAGCAGTTCAAGCCCAAAGAAATAACTGTGAAAACCAAGGATAATTTTGTGATTGTAGAAGGCAAACATGAAGAACAGCAAGATGAACATGGTTACATATCACGACATTTTGTGAGGCGTTATATGCTGCCTGAAAATCATGAACCAGCTGATGTCGTGTCCAGCTTGTCTTCAGATGGTGTTTTGACCATAACAGCCCCAAAACGAGCTTTGCCACCTGCAGAATCTGAGAAAAAAGAAGCCATTAAATGAAATCTTTTTTCCTGTGTAATTCAATATTTTTAAGCTAAATGTACTGATAGATGTATTACAATAAGTTATTTTTTATGAAAGATATTGTTCAATACTAATTGAAATAGATTATAAGTATTTCACTACATTTATATCCTATTTTTCTACACCATGAAATTCTGTATTGTGTGTAAATCATTATTTTTAAGTTAAATGTACTGATAGATGTATTACAATAAAATTATTTTTCTATGATACATATTGTTTTTTTATTTAGTGAATGTTTCTTATCAAAATACTATGTACTATTTAAAAACAGTTTCTGCCTGATATGCGGTCCTTTTTACCCCACGGCAAGGTGAGGTGTGCTTGGCATTGTGACTGGACATTGTCTGGACAGTTCACAGTAATACATAACATAAGTAATGTTATGTATTGTGAAATGATAGATGTTATGTCATAACTTTTATTCAAAATAATTTAATTTTACAAGGTTAATTTTAGTTGTTGTGGTTTTGTAACGATAAACTATATACTAATCGTTTTTTTGTGGTGAACTTGTTAAGGTATGAATTTTTTCTAAACATTAAAATATATTTTTAAAATGTTTAACACATTTGTTTGCGATTTTTGTTCAATTTAACTTACGTTAATTATTTTTTTTATTGTTTTAACAACAATCAGAACTCTCACTTTACATGTTCTATAAGCTGTTTGTTGAAGACTTATAACCTAACGCATTTTATTAGAGGCAACCCATCGGTTTACCATTCTCCTATGTGCGGGGTTTAAATTAGCTCTTACGTTTAATAGTTATCATATGAATTAGTATTTCTGAATGATGATAAAAATGTCGAAACGTGTAAAATAAATACCTTTTTATTATTTCCTATGATTTTATTTTGGCTGCTACCATTTGTAGAATATATATTAATATATTTTATTAGCATCATCATTAATATGTTGATTTCTAAAAATTTAGAACATAATTACAAATAAAATATAATATATAATAAAGGTAAAATACGATTGAAATAATTATAGTTTTATGAGATTATAAAACTTTAGCATGCGGATTTTTTCACGAAATTTGGAAACTTTGTTTGATTCATCTTTGATGAACTTTTGGTATGCTCTCGTATAATTTGTTAATAGTAGAAATCTTTGAACGATTGTACTAAAATTATTGGTGCGATTCAAATTTGATTTTATTTCAACAGAATTAGATTATATTAATATTTATATTAGAGCCCCGGATGCAAATTTGCGTTTAGAACAACTCTATATCAAGCAGTAGTGGTATCAATTTCCACTTAAATGCATATCATAATATGGTATATGCAAATAAAAATAGATTATGATGCAATAAGTTAAAATGTATCATCACTATTAGAAAAACTATATTATGAGACATCTTTTAGTAATAATTATGAGTTCCGGTTCAGATCCGCGGTTCGGACAACTCGATCTGAAGCAGTAATGGTAACAATTTCTACTTGAATGCATATAATATATTTGCAATTAAAAATAGACCATGATGCAATAAGTTAACATATATCATCACTATTAGAACGAATTATCATGAGACGTCTTCTAGTAATAATTACGAGCTCCGAGTTCAAATCCGCGATATCCGTTGATATCGGACAACTCGATATCAACAAGTAGTGTGAACAATTTTTACTAGAGTGTAGATCATAATATATTTGCAATTAAAAATAGATCATGATGCAATAAGTTGAAATATATCATCACTATAAAAAAGAATTATCATGAGACGTCTTCTAGTAATAATCACGAGTCCCGAGTTCAAATCCGCGTTTCGGACAACTTGATATCAACTTGTAGTGTGAACAATTTTTACTAGATTGTAGATCATAATATAATTGCAAATAAAAATAGATCATAATGCAATAAGTTAACATATATCATCACTATTAGAAAGAATTATCATGAGACGTCTTCTAGTAATAATCACGAGTCCCGAGTTCAAGTTTGCGTTTCGGGCAAGTCGATATCAAGAAGTATTAGGAGCAATTTTTACTAGATTGTAGATCACAATATATTTGCAAATGAAAACAGATTATGATGCAATAAATTAAAATATATTATCACTATTAGAAATAATTATTATGAGACATCTTCTAGTAATAATCACAAGTCCCGAGTTCAAATCCGCGTTTCGGACAACTCGATATCAAGAAGTAATAGTAACAATTTTTACTGATTTACTTTGTATATCATAATATATTTGCAAATGAAAATACATCATCATGCCATAAGTTAAAATATATCATCACTATTAGAAAAAATTATCATGAGACGTCTTCTAGTAATAATCACGAGTCCCGAGTTCAAATCCGCGTTTCGGACAACTCGATATCGAGAAGTAGTGAGAACAATTTTTACTGGATTACAAGTAGATCATAATTTATTTGCAAATGAAAATAGATCATCATGCAATAAGTTAAAATATATCATCATTATTAGAAAGAATTATCATGAGATGTCTGCTAGTAATAATCAAGAGTCCCGAGTTCAAATCCGCATTTTGGACAACTCGATATCAAGAAGTAGTGGGAACAATTTTTACTAGATTGTAGATTATAATATATTTGCAAATGAAAATAGATCATGATGCAATAAATTAAAATATATCATCACTATTAGACAGAATTTTCATGAGACGTCTTCTAGTAATAATCACGAGTCCCGAGTTCGAATCCGAGTTTCGGATAACTCGATATCAAGAAGTAGTGGGAACAATTTTTACTTGTTTTGCTTTGTAAATCATAATATATTTGCAAATAAAAATAGATCATGATGCAATAAGTTAAAATATATCATCACTCTGAGAAAGAATTATCATGGGAAATCTTCTAGTAATAATCACAAGTCCCGAGTTCAAATCCGCGTTTCGGACAACTCGATATCAAGAAGTAGTGGGAACAATTTTCACTAGATTGTAGATCACAATATTTTAGCAAATGAAAATAGATCATGATGCATCATTATTAGAAAATACTATCATTGGAACGACTCCAGTATAAAATACGTGAATATTGCAATTTATATCTTATAATTAAAAAAAAAAATATGATAACAAAAACAATTTAAAACGATATAGATTAGGAGAACTGCTTTTGAGACTCTGGTTTTAGCTGAAATAATTATAAGGAGATTTTATTTGGATATACAGAAATACAACACTTAAAAATATTTTGTGTATATTTATTAATTAAACATACATCCTAATTATATCAAATATCACAAAACTTAATAAAAATTAATAAATATAACAATTATAACTACATAAATATATTTTTTATATTACAAATCAGTATTTAAACTACATGTTTATAATGACATTAGTTCTTAATAGCCTCTTTGTTCTCCATTTGTGTTATAGAGACAACCCTTTCATTTTCATCTTCTGGTAAAACGCGTTTTGGTGCCGTGATGGTCAAGACACCATCTGATGATAAATTGGAGACAACATCAGATGCTTCGTGATTTTGGGGCAACATAAATCGTCTTACAAAATGACGGGTGACAAAACCATGTTCATCTTGTTTTTCTTCATGTTTGCCTTCAACAATCACACAATTGTTCTTCGTTTTGACAGTTATTTCTTTTGGCTTGAATTGTTGCACATCCAAAGTAATCTGTGGAATAAGGAAACTCAATTAGCGCTTGATATGAAATAAAAACTAAAACTAATAAAACTTTTTTCACTAATACTTACTTGAAATTTATCTTTGTCTGTTGTTACGGATGAAGCAACATCTTTGACAGAAATTTCGTTGTCCCAGGATTTGAAAAAGTTATCACGAAATACAGATGTTGCACTTAGAGGTGTGAAAAAATCATGACGAAGGGCCATCGAGTTGAAATGATGGTCCATCATCCGCATCATGCGCCAAAATGGTACAAGAGACATGATTTCTAATTTTTTATAAAACTGAAAAAACAAATAAAAATTAAAGTGTCAATGAATATCAATTGATTTTAAAGTATTTGAATTATAATAATTAGATTAGTTAGCTAATATATGGGTAAATCGCAGAGAATTTATTCAATTTGTAATTCGGAATATGTACTTATTACAAATTGCGCATTTGCACTAATCCATTCATTAATAATTCAATTGAAATTTATATTATATATAAAAATTATTCTTACCTTATTGTTTGATAAATTGTTGAAGTAGTTTCGAAGGTTTTTTTAATAAAATCGCCTCGTTCGGTTTTAAAAAAAAATCGCAAAAATTTTCTTTCACTATCGTGTGATCTGATGCAACTCTCTTCATAAACTGATGCAATTTTAGAAAAGACTCCAACTATATATACGCCTAGCGAATATACCTGAATATACTAGCATATTCTGTTCTAGATATTTCTCGTATGTTCTCTATGTAGCTGATGCAACTACTGTGGTACATTCTAGTATTGAATGTTCGAATTGGTTCGAGAAATGCATAATACGCCTTTGAATCGATCCAAAGATAATTCTTTAAATTTTTATTTTATAATTTTTTTATTATGCACAATTTATATACATGCTCAAATCAAATTTTATTTTCTGAAAATTTTTATATCTCTAATAAATTCAGCGGTTTTGTTAATAGTGCTCCTAAATACATAAGGTTATGAATTATATATCTGATAGTTAATGGTACATGTATAATTTGCCTAATAATCAATTCAAACACAATTTGCCTTAATTTGATAGAGGAGATAGTATCATGTAAACGTAATTTAATAAAACCGCATGTATATATACATATAAAAATATTGGGCATCTATCCTAAAAATATATTTATTGTCAAACTTTTCGGATACTGTTTTGACCCATCTGCAGTGCATACAAATAATTTAAAGAAAAACACAGAAAAAACAAAAAAAATATATCGGTTTATATAACAATAAGTTATAAAAACGAACAATAAATTAATAAAAACGAAAATTAAATAATTGAAAAGATTTAAAAATCTCTTCTTATCAAAATATGTTATTCCTTTG